CCCAGTGCGTGTTGCCAGTGATGACATACGGAACTGAGACGTGGTCCTTCACTGCTGGCCGGATGAGGAAGCTCAAGGTCGCTCAGCGAGCTATGGAGAGGGCTATGCTCGGAGTTTCTCTGCGTGATAAACTCAGAAATGAGGATATCCGCAGTAGCACCAGAGTGACCGACATAGCCCAACGGATTAGTAAGCTGAAGTGGCAATGGGCCGGCCATATAGCTCGTAGAACCGACAACCGATGGGGAAGAAAGGTTCTCGAGTGGCAGCCTCGTACCGGCAGGCGAAGTGTAGGGCATCCCCCCACTAGATGGAGTGACGACCTGGTAAGATATGCAGGAAGTCGATGGATGCAGGTGGCTCAGGACCGTGCTTTGTGGCATTCTTTGGGGGAGGCCTATGTTCAGCAGTGGACTTGTGAAGGGCTGTAATGATGATGATGATGAAGGTCGAACACTCTGAACATCTATTCGCATCAACAGCCAAATATTGTATGAAGCTCGCACTCGGACCCCCCGCCTTTTTATACCTCCCGCCGCGAGCCGCGTCCAGCGCGGCGACCGTTACACAAAAATAATCCTTATAGCATGATTCAGTATTCACGCGCGATGGCTTATTAGCGTATTTCATGTATAACTTTGGTGTTTCTATACTGATTTCTATGATTCTTTTTTATTGAATAGATAATAATGTTAACTTTTTTTAATTAGGGATGAGTGAGAGTGTTATAAACGTAAGAGTAGACAAATATAATCAGAAAGCTCCGAACTGCTAAGCTGTCTGGAGTTACACGTGTTATTGTGAGTCAACCATAAAAGATAGACATATGCTGTTGTTGGATATTTTTTATATAATTTTAAGGAAAACATTTCTGTTATACATGATTTCTGTGTAGCTTTAACCATTAAGGCTGCACACGCGACGGAATCTTAAAAAATGGAGTAATTTCTCCCGTTTCCCCAACATTTACCTTCACTGCTCTGATCCTATTGATCGTAACGTGATGAAAAGTATACTATAACCTGCCCAGGAGTATGAAGAATGATTGTACCAAGTTTCGTTAAAATCCGTCGAGTAGTTTTTGTTTCTATAACAAACATACAGACAGACAGACAGACAGACAAACAAAAATTTTACTCTTTGAATTTTTGGCATCAGTATCGATTACTAATCACCCCCTGATAGTTATTTTGGAAATATATTTCATGTACAGAATTTACCTCTCTACAGATTTATTATAAGTATAGATATAGATGGATGTTCGGTATGATGTTTTAATATGAGAATAAATAAGAATAAGTTTTAATCATTTCTCGACGACACATCGCAACAGATATTTCGTTTATAAATGGCTATCAACGTGTCAATAGTGAATAATTCTTTTATATTTAGCATTCATTTAACACAAAAAACTGATTAGAATACATTTTAAACAACACATAATCAATAAACGATGATCGCGTATAGTGATTAAAATTTCGAGTTAAATTATTATATGTAAACATTTTGGAATTGTCGTAATGAAACATATTTCTTATAGAAAATATCTTCCCAATTAGTTTGATCTATAATGACATTAGAAATAACGTAAAAAAAACAGAAAAGTTATCACATTTTTGACCGAATTTCTCACATTTTAACAATCCACAAACAAAAATGGCGAAATTTTTTTAACTTTTTTTTTTATTAAAATTTTGTTACTATTATACAGATAAAATTCACACTCACAGATGACAAATTTATAATAGCACCATCTATAATTTTTACTGTATTAATAACAGCTATCTTTTGCGCTGTACACGTTTAAACCGAAAGGTGTCGTTATGTGACAATAGTCACCATGGACAGGTCTGGCAATCATTTTTTTGGGGACTGTAGTCACCGTGGACGGTTGAGTAGTTATTACCTGAGGTTGGTAAAGGTAAAATTATATAGTCGTAATTCTTCAGATACTTCTAGTTTTAATGAATTTAATCTGTCACTAGTGACGTAAGTATTGTTTACAAATGCTCTCCTCTGATCAGCTATTCGTTGTTCGTTAAGATGAGCATGTGCAGGAAATCTGTTGATAAAAATCTTCATAGATGCGTCTTCTATATACTGTTTCGTTTCTGCCTAAATCTGTTACTATTTTTAGTACTATGTGTTTCTGGGGTTCTAGGTTGCATTTGGGTATATGGTGTGGGTGTAAGTATTTGTTGTACATGGCCGATAGAGTTTTGTAACTGTTGGAAAGAATGGTTAAACTGTAGACGATCTAACTATTCTTTTACGTCGTTTCGTATCTCCTCTACAGTTTTTTGTGGAAATAGTTTATTGTTTATTATGGCTCTACGTTGGTCTCCTATTCTCTGTCTCTACCCTGCATTAAGGGTATTTTTCTATAAATTTTATATGGAGCGGTTCAAGAAAAGTTTTTCTGTCTGTTATAGTGCAGTAAATTAAAGGTAAGTACACAGCATAAACTTATATATTTCAGGTGTCCATCATCTGCGCGTACTTGGGGCGCTTGTAGTGGGTGTAAGCTCAGAGTCAAGGTTGACTTCCTGCACAACACTATCAAGCGTGCTGGCGGTGGACAAGCTAACTCAAACTCAGGGTTATGTAAAGAATAATAAGCGTCAAATTTTGTTTTTAAAAAAATATTATTCGTATCAGATGAAATATAAAAAGAGTAAATATGATTTACTGTACTGTTTGTATGAACAATAGTAGAAAAATATAGGTAACTCATAAACATCTTTATCGATCTTTAATTAAGAATCTAAATGCAAATGAGTTATCACCCCTGAGGAATAAGATGGAATGCCTTATTTGCCTATGTCATTTTTTAACAATCTCAAAGACTCCACTAGGTAAGTAGTAACTTAACTATAATTTATTATTTTTAACGTCGCAGGTGGATACCTCATACATATACTTCAACATTGAAAGAAAATGTAGTTGTACCTAATAACCTATAAGTAATTGAACAGTTATATGTTATAATTGAATAATTACGTTTATAATTTTAAAACGCATAAACTTATGTTTTTATTATAATTTCAAACGACAAGAGTGATAAAATGTCGGACGAGAAGATCTCCTTTCATAACTTTTTGATGATAAAAAAGGCAACAATATAGAATCTTCGAGGATCACTTTGAAAAATCCTGTATTAAGTTTTCTAAAAAAAGAACAGTACAATATTTATTTGGAAATGCTTTTCCAACACTCAACTTGGCAACAAATGACGGTGCTTGTTCGAGTTTTAGCCAATGTAAGCATGTATCTGAAATGAATGTATGAACTACTTGCGCAATAATATTTTGACCTCGAAAGAAACATTGTAAATATAAATATTAAAACGAGCGCAAGATTGTATATTTGTTATGCCATGATTTCTTTTCCTTGCGGTGCATAGCCGAAAAGTGTTTGGCTAAAAACAAGAAAGTCTACTGCGCGTTTGTAGATCTAGAAAAGGCCTATGATAGAGTGGTGAGGAATGAATTGTGGTCAGCACTGTCCGTGAACGGTGTGAGCAGTATCCTCATACGAGTATTGCAATCTCTTTATAGGGATTCTAGTGCTTGTGTAAGGATAAACGGGGCATACACTGAATGGTTTAATATCGAAAAAGGTGTTAGACAGGGATGTGTAGCGTCACCGTGGCTGTTTAATCTGTTCATGGACAATTGTTTGACAGATTTAAAAGAGAATGAAAGTGGGTTGAGAATGAATGAGTTACTCGTCAAATGTTTTCTCATGCTGATGACCAAGTATTACTTGCGTCTTCGGCCGAGGAGTTGCAGGAGATGGTAACTGCTATGAGTGGAGCTTTTGTTAGAAAGGGAATGAAGATGAATGTAAGGAAGACGAAAGTGATGGTGTTTGAAAAAGATGAGGCAGTGACAGACTGCAATATCGTGATTGCAGATGAACATATTGAACAGGTGAAAGAGTTTGTGTATCTGGGTTCAAAGTTTACAAGAGATGGAAAGTGTGAGAGTGATATCGAAAGAAGAGTGAATGCAGGAAACATGGTGAATGGAGCTTTGCACTCCTTTATGAGCAGTCGGAAGGTGTCTAACAAGACTCGTTTGGCTGTGCGTGAGTTGGTTCCGACACTCATGTACGGAAGTGAAAGTTGGGTATGGCAGAAGAAACATGAAAGCAGAATAAATGCAGTTGAGATGAGAGCATTAAGAAGTATGATAGGAGTTAAACTGAGTGACAGGCTAAGAAATAGTGAGATAAGGAAACGTTGTGGTCTGAAAGAAGATGTAGTGACAAAAATTGAGAAAAGTATGCTGAGATGGTTTGGCCATGTCGAGAGAATGAATGAAGAACGATTGACGAAAAAAGTGTATAAGGCGAGTGTGAATGAAAGTGTTGGAAGGGGTAGACCTAGGCGGACATTTCTAGACCAAATCAGGGACGTCTTGAAAAAAGGCCAGGTCAAGAGTACCCTAAACCGTAGAGCATGTATGAAGGGAATAATGAAAGTGGACGAAGCGAAACAAGTATGTAAGGATCGTAGCAAGTGGAAAGAAGTGGTCTCTGCCTACCCCTACGGGAAAGAGGCGTAATTATATGTATGTATGTATTATTAAATAGACTTTAGATTATAATTTACCATTTAATTAAAAGGTACAAAAAATTATAAAAATAAAATGTTTAGAATAAGTAGCTTGTAAAAAATATTATATTTTAAGTATGTAATAAAAGCTGATAAACGTTTTGTTTATTTAATTTTAACATTCCGTGCCAACCGTACAAAAATAAGATAAGTAAAAATTTTGACAACTCCGTAGAAGCTTTATCTCTGTGCGGTTTCTTAAAGAAAAAAAAAGGCCTTTCTTTATTCATGTGATTATACATTGTAAATTCAGGCTCAGAAGGGCTAGAACCCAGAGCCGTAAGGCCAGCTATAAAAAAATCATCTTGTCACTTGTCAATGTCATATATTCTATGAAAGTGCGCTAAAACGACTAGATACATGCCTATTATTAAATGCAAACATGAAGGAAAACATTAAAAATTATTTAAATACTGTGCAGGAAATGATATTAGACGAAGAAAAACTAGTTACATACATTTCACTTAGTAAAGAACTTTGCCTACATGTCAACGAAAGCAAAATACTGTTGCAAAAGCTCATAGAAGATATTCGTGAAAAGAACCCGAAGATTGCTCTAAATATTAACTATATTATTTCTGGTATAACAGACAAAAACGTTGCTAAAACAATTGTGTGTACTGAGGCTGAATTAAGCGATCTTAAAAAGAACTTCGAGGCTATATTTTTCGAACATATATACAGTGTTAACAAAGGGTTTTCACGTGTAAATAATGCTTCGTTATTAACTACCAACAAATTCGAGGATTTTACTTTATGTACAGGTATAATAAAATGTAGTGAATGCTTAAAACGAACCGCTGATGAAATTGGAGCTCTAAAGTCTAACAGTCAAAATCGTGCTATAATTGATAATAAAACTGAAAATATACCTCCAAAGAAAATAAAGAAAGACATTCCTGAAAAATCAAAGGAATCGGTAAATAATAAAGAGGAGCCGAAGCACAATGGAACTAAGTTTCAGGAAAACATAAAAAATGAAATATGCTCACCTAAAAAAGAAGATATTTGCAAAACAGCAACAAATAAAAACAATATAAAACAGAAAGGAATAGCTGGATTTTTTGGTAAATCTAATGGAGTTACTATTAAAAAGGAAATAGAAAAAAAGCCAGTCAAAACAGAAGTTAAAGAGGTCAAGGTACAAATGTCTACTACAACAGAAGTTAAAGTAGAAAGAATGTCAGTAGATATTGTAGTGGAAAATGAACAAAAGAAAGTTAAAGAGAGTGATAAGAAATTGAAGAACAAACAAGAAGCAGAAAAAAAGACTGACAAAAAGTCTGATGTAGTAGAAGAAAAGAAAATCACAAAGAAAAACTTGAGAGTTGACAAGAAAAGAAAGAGAGTGTTATGTGTTTCAGATAGTGAGAGCGATAATGAAACTAATGACCCATTTATCTCTGAAGAACATATGGATGTAAAAAATGAGTCAGAAGATGAAATACCTCCTACCCCATCTGTAAATCCCATTAAAATCACTTCAGGTATAGTAAATCCTAAAAAGAGAAGAAAGATTGTAGATAAGACATATACTGGTGAAGATGGTTATATTATAACAAGAAAGGAAGAGGTATATGAGAGTTGTTCCGAAAATGATGAAGAAGTAACAAGCAAAGAAAATGTTGAACATGTTAATACAAAAATAATAGAGACCTCACCAAAAGGAAAGAAGAACGGTATGAAAACTTCTAAGAAAAAGGTATCTCAACCCCAAACAGGAAAACAAACTACAATTATGAACTTCTTTAATAAATCTGTAAACTGATGAATTTACTTTATGAAATCATGGACATGTTACACTTTATTCATATCAGAACAAAAAATAATGTACTGCAAATTATTTTGGTTTCATAATTTTAATAAAATAATTGTTAATACACTGTAGTATTTTATCTATTTGTTCCAATGGCAACTAGCCAGTCTGGATGTACTTGTATATCAACTAAATAGGAACACTTTGTATTGTAGGTAGATGTAATCATGTCTTGACTGGTGACTTGCCTGAAACAAAACATTCCTTTATAATTAATTGTAATCACTTTGAAAAACTGCATCATAATTAATTATGGGATTAACATCTTTATTGAGAATTAAGTGAAAGTATAATGCCTATACCTATTAGAAATATTACTTTATTTGTTATAATTCACAAGTTAATTAATTTTACATTAAGCTAACACTAGTTTAAAAATTCTTGTATGTACAACATACAACTTACTTATTTTTTGAATGGCTGTCCCATGCAATCTTCACAACACCATCCATACCAGCTGAGCATAACAGTGAATTATCCACTGACATGTCATTAGGGTCTAACACAACTCTATTTGTGAGGCTCGCCTTCCCCACTGCAGACCAGTCCAATGCTGTTATTTTACCATGATGTCCACGGTGTTCATGTATGCATGTACAAGCAGCTAGGTCCCAAACTTTAATCTTCTTGTCATCACCTAGTGACAAAACAATTTGTGATAAAGCAAGGTCAATTCTAAATTTCTCTTGCATAAAGCATAGAATATTAATTGCTATCTGCTAGCGATGTAAATGGCAAAAGTGAACATGGAATTGACTAGGCCACTGTATGTGTCACAGACATTTTTCTCAGACTATTCTATGTTCATGGTTCAAATTCGGCATAGTAAAATCCTAATAACTCTAGTTGTAGATTGTAGATGGTTAAAAGGTAATCTTTTATATCATTGCATGTTTTCTTTGAAGCACCATTTTAAAATGTGATAGTGATACAAATGTGATAATTCATTTGTAGGTTTAAAAATATTTCTAATTTAAATTCACATTTTTCAAAGAATGCTTCATTTTATTATCCATCACGTTATATTCGAAAGTGCAGCTAATAATAATGTGAAAAAAGGCAAATATAAATTTTTCAAACTGAAATAATTGGTAAAATGAAAATATTTATTTAATTTATTATTTTTTTTTGTATTCATTAAAGTAGCCATAGGTACATAATCAACTTCCATATTATAAAAAATAAAAAAGAACTACGGAAGTATATGCACTAGAATTATCGTAATTAAAGTGGAAGATCCGGAAATTCAGGAAAGACGGCTTTCGTCCACCTGATTCTCAAAAAAGGCGACCACTCAGACCTGTCTAACTACAGGCCTATTGCCATCACCAAGGAGGTTCTCCAAAATAATGGAATTCATTATAAACTGCCACATCATGCGGTACCTTAAGGATCACCAGCTGATTAGTAACCGTCAATACGGTTTTCGTCGGGGTTGATCAGCTGGTGATCTTCTGGTCTACCTGACTCATAGATGAGCGGAGGCAGTGGAGTCCAAAGACGTTGGCCGTTAGTTTGGGCATAGTGAAGGCCTTCGATTGCGTTGCCAACTAACTCACTTACTAAGAGAGGGTAATCAATTAATGAATGAATGATGGATAATATCTTGAGGGAGCAGAGAGCAAAACAGGTAATATGGCGTCTGTGTGCGTTCTGTAAAGCAACTCCGGTGTCGATTATACAAACACAAATAAATTAATAAAATATTTCAAAAGGGTACATACTCGTTACATTCTTACAGTTATTACCACAGTCTATAAATCCATACAGTCGTCCGACGAAGACGTCTAGACAGGGCAATCGTGCGGGGTGTGAGGGGTGAGACGCGGGAAGGACGAGCCCGCGCTTCTTATGCCAATCGTATTAGTAGCTCGGGACACGACTTCCAGGGTTAACGCGCGTTTGCTTTTATAATTTTTAAATTTAGTGTTGCTACTTATAATTAAAATGGTTCATACGACGTGTGGTGTGAGAGATTGCAAGTCGTCATCTTGCATAAATAAAGATCTGCGATTTCATCAAATCCCGCAGACGGAAGAAAGGTAAATAAATATTGTTATTATTTTTCACATTATGTATATTTTGTCATGTCATGCCAAATTGCCAACGTAAAAAAAAAATGGCGGACGTAAATAATAGGTACTAATCGCTGGGCATTACTGTTTCGAAGTTTGATTTTTTTTCAGCATCTAAATCATAAAATGGTTGGACAGGCTAAGGTTTTAGACCATACTATAGTGGTTCGTCTTCGGTTTTTTTGAAGTTTTTTTTATAAAATATTAAGATTTAGGGGTAAATTTTTAGGTTTGTCGGGATGCTAATTACGAAAATAGCATTTATTTTTAAATCCAAGATGGCGGTCATTTTTTAATATATGTATGATATGGATGTCAATTTCAAGGTTTATTGGGGTGATAATTATGAAAATGTATTAATAAGTAATGTATTTAAAAATTTCAGATGCAAATTATGGATGAAAGTTATTGGAAGACCTGATTTAGTTGGAAGAACTTTCGAAAGCCTAAAGAATCAATTATAAAATAAACTAATAATTCAATGTCTGTAGTCATTGTAACTTTAATAATAATATGGATATGATGTTTGGCTAAGAGTTAAGAACGATTTTATGTAACGAAATTGAGCTATGACCACATATCGAGAGTAGAGTACTTTCAGGAAAAATCTAAGAACAGATTGTTACTTATTTTTTATATTAGTAATTATACTGTTGATGACGATGTAGATCTAAAATAAATAATTAAATTAGTAAAAGTTAAAAAAATATTTAAAAATTAGTAAAAGTTGTTAATTTGTGACAACCCTAACCTCCATACGCTGTCTAGACGTTGTCGGCATTTACCACGAGATCAAAGGCGTCGTCCTACTGCATGTTTATTATACTGTGGTTATTACTCTCTGTGAAACCCATGATGAATCTAGGGATAATTTTAAAGAAATATAGTGGCTGAATTTAAGTAAATTTCATAGAGACCTTTTCATGATATAATATAATATTTATTAAAGACATTGTAAATATCTACAGCAATATAGTTGATACCTCCTTCTCGACTTCAAATAGGAGGAGATACTCAACTCGACTGTTTTTTTAATATGTCTTACCTCCTTTACCTCGTAACTTTTTTCTAGGTGAACCGATATTGATGATTTTTTTTATTTGAAAGCTGGTGCTTCTCATGTGGCCCCCATATAAATTTGATCAAGGTCTGACCAGTAATTTTTGAGTTATCCTTAATAATTTATATTGAAGTCGGTTGTACAAAATTTTTAATTTTACCACTTATTTTCAGAGTTATGATCAAATACTAAGGTTTTATGAAATTTTAGAATAGAATGTAGAACATATAATTTTCTTATTGTTATCACACATTTGATACAAGTCGGTGGTTGAAAAAAGAAAAGGTTTATATTAAAATTAATGAATTACTTAAAATGCATGGCTTTCAAAAGTGATCTTTGTGACCGTTCCACTTCTAGAAATTTAGCTTTCGTTACTCCACCCCCGATTAGAATGCAGTAAGTTTAGATTGGATTAGGGAAATATAAATCTGTTTAAGTAGGTAGTTTGAGTAGAAGCTACATATCTCAACTGTTAAAATTATAATTCAATCTGATCAAACCAAGATAGTCGTTGATCTAAAACAGCTCTTAAATATTTAGTTTTATTTACTTTATTGATAGATGGGCATCGAGTAAGTAGCATTAGTAGTATCACATTTGAATTTTTATGGCAAAATTAGTAACTGGTAATTTTTCTTAGTTAAATTGAAGCAAATATAATTAGTTTTATGAGCGTTTAAAGTGAATAAATTTGACTTTTGCCAAAATGCAACTTTAATCAAACCAAGCTCAGTTACACTACGTACTGAATCCCAATTTCTGCCTGTAGATACTATTGCACTATCATCAGCGTAGGAAAAAAATCATATATTTAAAGATACTACGATAGTGCAAAATTCCGCATTATTCAACTACGTCTTTATCGTAAGATGTCAGATGAAGCTTCTGGTGACGTTCATTGATATCAATAAGTATTACAAACGGGATCAATCAAAATCCTTAATTATACCACAGCTTTTTTCTAAGTGAGACTAAATGAATTTATCGACGTTTTTTGTTCCGCTAACGGCACATCAATAGACATCTATTGTCGTCTATGGAATGGAAAAAGGAAAAGGGCAACAACTTTTGAAAGAAAGAAGGTGATACGTAACATTAAGTTAAACCACAAGAATGTTGTTCTTATTTTATTACCTCTATTATTATTATTATAAAAAGCTGATGCGCGTGCATCTTAAGATTAGGAGATTTTATCCAATCTGTTGTTGAAGGCGTTCAATGTTGGAGCATCAATCACATTTTGCGGTAGCTTATTCCAGTTGTTGACAACACGATTTGTACTAAAATTATTCATAGATTTTCACTTGGCAGCCCTATGCCAGAGTTTGAATTGATGTCCTCTCAGACGTTTGTTTGTTTGATATTCAGTAAGTACAAATTTTGCAGAGTATATACATCGTTATATCCTGTCAGTATTTTTATTATGTTTGTGCCTCTATGCTAGTAATAATTCTGAGATCACAATACTTATGTAAAAAAAACTTCTTTAAATCATTACCTTGAGTGGTAATAAAGTAGCAGCAATCCGCTTACGGTCAAATTCCCGCCAAAACGTATTTATTTTTAATCTTTAAATTATTTTGTACGTAGGTAAATATTGATTACCGGCACTGGCGAGGTATGAGCCGGAGGGCGCGAAGGCGAGCGCTCTGACGGCAGCGCGATGGCCGCACAGCACGCGCACGAGCCGCGCGTCGCACACGCCCCACAGCCGCACGCTGCGGTCCGCGCCGCCCGTCGCTATGTACGCCTCGTTCGGGTGGAACTTCACGCACTGAACAAACAGTATATATGCCACTACGCTTAGCACTGACCGACCACGCCACAATATTTTATTTTACACTTAAAACACACATTTTTATAGCATTGTTAAAAACCTCTAAAGTTTATCTACAACGCCAAGGACATCAGGCAGTTTATTACATTGATAGAAAAAAAAATATATATAAAAAAATAGTCACACAAATCAAATCAATACGGCTGTCGCATAACTTTTTCTACAACAGACAGATCCGGTTTCGGAGCTATTACAACTAGCACAAGTAGACGCGCACAAGCGCGCACGTAAATTACCCGTGCTCGATGTAATCTTTACTCGTTAATATCTAACCCACCGTTTACACTCTCGCGCGAGCGGCGAGGCGAGTCGCGAGGCGAGCCACGTGGCGCGAGTGTAAACGCTAGCTCATGGCTCGCCTCGCAGCTCGCCTCGCCACTAGCGGCGCTCGCGTCGGAGGCGGTTCTTTGGGCAAGAAGCAAAAGGCCTCGCGAAGGACGCGAGCGTGGTGTTTACACTCGCGCTCTTGTTTCAGTTGGTTTACGGCGGCCTTCCATAATAACATTCGAATTGCTTTTGTTTTAAAATTAGAATTTTAATAAAATATTATTATTTAATCTTGCACAATAGGTACTAGCAACTTATATAAAATTATGAAACTTAAAAGGTTCTGTTTCGATGAATAGTATTATCCACCATATTCTTCCTCAACGACGTATTTTGTTTAATTTGCTTCTTTTTAAAACGGTCAAGCATCGATAAATACTTATTAAGGCAAGAGTTGATGCCGCTATTATTTCGACGCCTTTCATCGTTGCTGGCTCAACGCAAACTCAACGCATCGCGAGGATGTAAACAGGCACTCGTTACCTCGCAGCAACATGCAAGCTGCGAGGCGAGGTACGAGGCGAGGCGCGAGGCGAGAGTCTAAACCCGGTATGAGGTGTGTTAGGAAGCAGCGAGACACGGGGTCAGGCAGTAGCTGAACCAACAATTTGTGTTACTGCACAAATGTTGGCTCCGATTCAAGCCCTGGACTCGTGACGTAGCTGGTAATAGCATGCACTTTCCCCGAAAATAACAAAAAAAAACTGCGTTTGTCAAGCGTGATACTTATGGCACACTGTCTCGCAAAATTAAAATCAGTGTAGTGATTGAATGAATGAATGAAATTATGAATAATTTTAGATTGTATATAAAATACCACACATACATTTTTTCTATTTCATTTAAGGCATATAACCTTGTTTTTCAAGAGTGCAACCTTTTATTTATGGTCTGAGAGCTGGCGACGAATTTTGGGAAGGTCCTTTGGGCAAGTTGAAATTGTGAAAAAATGTAATTTCGTCGTTTCGTTCAGCTACTGCCTGTCCCCGTGTCTCGCTGCTTCCTAACATACCTCATACCGGGTTTAGACTCTCGCCTCGCGCCGCGCCTCGTACCTAGCCTCGCAGCTCGCATGTTGCTGCGAGGTAACGAGTGCCTGTTTACATCCTCGCGATGCGTTGAGTTTGCGCATCATCCAACACACTTGCAACATTAGATACATTAAATCAATTTTAAGTCATACATAATCTTAATAGAATAAAATACATAATACTCTATAGCGTAAAAATGGCGTATAGTTTTTATTATATATTTTTTTTAATATTTAAAAAAAATATTTTTTAATAAAATTTGTTGTCTAGCGTTTTTTTTCCAATTATTAAGTAAGGATTAAATTTATGGAACTCCATATTGAGACAAAAATTTACTGTGCAACAGGTGATTAGAATGGCATATAGTAATGTACATTTTGCTAGCATCACTTAAATTATAGCTCACCGTGACATCAGACATGTGCCCCACAAAGACTCGAATTGGGAATGTTCTATCAAGGGACCATAATTTGGCGGTTTTATCATGCGAACCAGTCACAATAAATAGACCGTTTTTGGAAACATCCATACACCAAATTGGGTAATTATGACCTCTGAAACACATTTACATATATAATAGAATTAAAATAATTCCTGCCGTATTATAACAAAAAATTCTTTATGTATTTACCTGTATACGGAGGCACATGAATAATCCGATAGCCTCCAAGCTCTCATAGTATTATCATGAGAGGCAGACAATACAAGTTGTTCTCGTGATAAAATGCTGACTGCTTGCACAGGACCTGAGTGACCTCGTAGCGGCAGCCCAGTACCTATTTGACTGACATATTTTTTGTAGTATGAAATCTGATATTCTGAGACTCTTTTAAAGATAATATGTAAAAAAGCTAGATAATAAATAATAATGCTTGTAGTAAAATATCCTCAATTACTCATTGGAAATTGGGAAAGTCATAAGAAATTGTGACCACCTTTAGTTAACTGTAGTGACATATTTCAATTACTATGGTAATTATCAACAAAATTATTTATATAATATGTACTATGATGGTTAATGGTTTCTCATACGCCGAAAATGCAAATTTTATCAAAAATAAGGTTTCATGATAAAATATAATAAGAAAACAATAAAAAGTTATATATTACAAGTAAGTATCTGCAGGTGTTTCCGGTTCAGGTGGTACATAGCATGCTATTTCTATTTCGGAGATATTACGGTTGATTTTTCGTTTTACGTTATTCTGTCCGAGGTCCCAAAGTCTTATTTCTGAATTACTAAATCCTCCACATAGCACATTACAGTTAATGTCTGTTTTAGCACATACGAGGCTGCAACAATATATAAACAGAAAATAGAAAACTGTTTTTAATTTTTTTTTGAGGAAAGAAGCAATTATTATGAAGAACACAGTCATACTTATATTTGTTAAAGTGTAATTATAGTAAATCCTGACTTAAAATCCCATGCTTTGAGTTGCACAAAATACTAGAGGTGCTTACTCATCTCAATAATCTAATCTTGTGCAATTTATGTAACTCTTACATAATCAGTTATGCTTTTTTTTAATTTTATCATTAGAGATTCTTCAACAGTAGAAGCTTCTACTGTGTCTTGGAGATCTTTTCAGATACTAAATTACATATAGACATGCATCGGACCAGATATAATAAATAAGCTATACAAATACTGACTTAATGCAGGTATCAATTTGCAGCCAAACACTCAATCCAATAATAAATTAATCTCTCTTTACAGTGTCTTTAATGAGAGTTATGAACATTAATAAAAGAAAAGTGTTCAAATTATTATATTAAAGTCCTCCTGGCTGTTTTACCCACATCAACTAAATTGGAACACTGTTGGATTCTAATCACTGTGTATGTACACTAATTCTTAAGTGATTTTACTAAACCATGCCCAATTTCACTATTCTGCAATAATACTGGAAGTAGGCAAGACAACTTCCCCAAAGATTGCTTCATAGGGGAGATATTTGCTATCGTTTTTGAGGCATTCCATTTTAATCCTCACGGGTGACAACACAACTGCATTTTGATTCTTTATTGAGTGTTTGTCGATGGGTCACAGCATCCACTTACCATCTGGTGGACTGTGTGCTTGTTTGTCACCCTGTCATATAAAAAAGTTGCCATGCTTTTGCCATTTTTGCATAGGCAGGTGGATAAACAACTGCAGTTTTTTAATTATGTTCAGTTGTCATCAGTAAGATGTTGCTGCCTATTTCCAATCAAAAGTTTCAATACCTAAATTTTTAGAAATTATATAAAAATGCATAAATAAAACTTACTGTGTATCAGGAGCAACTATTTTATATAATTTAAGTGGTGCCATAGATTCACGAACTCCTTTAATTGCTTCTTGGAGTTCTCTTAATTCCTTATCAACATTTAGATATTCAGCATGGCCATTGCATTTTGAAAATATGTCTAAAACAAATAATACATAATATGTTAGTAAAGAATTAAGTGAAACAAAGTCTAAATGAGAAGCAAATAGTAATAATTTTTTAAACTTATTTAGCTTTGTAAATGTGTTAAAAGCAGCTTGCTATCATATGGCATAGAGCAGCTAGCTGCAGCTTTAGCATAGCATAGAGTAGTTAGCCTTATGCTATACTATGGAAAAATGTTTACTATTGATATTTGTCAGTAGTGATGACCGCAACTTCCATAGATCATAATAAAATGTCACAAGGTACACTCCAATAGCTAAATACCAGCTGAATAGCTGACACTATCAATTTGTTATTTAACTTTTACTACAATTAATGTCATTCTATATTAGTACAATTTTTTTATATGGTGGTGGGCTACTGATTGTGTTCCAATCATACATACATACACGCACGTACGCACGCACTCGTTTGCTCGCTCACTCACTCACGCACTCGCTCGCTCGCTCACTCACTCATGCACGCACGCACACACTCACACATGCACGGACACACGCACACACTCACCTACTCACGCATGCACATACTCAATGGTGCATGGAAAGATGAAAAGACACCTGTCTATTCAAAATGTACTTTCACTTGGCAGTACAATATTTATAGGTGGCAAGTTCACTTTTGTATGACATATTTATTATTAATATAAAAATTTATAAGTGATCTCTTTTTACAATAACTTTCATACAGCCTACCATTTTTGTCTGATGCCTTTTCATCACTGTTTGTTACTGGTGCATTTACATCTTCATTTTGCTCTTCATCATCCTCCTATAAAAATAAAGAATTAATATATAAATATTTTGTTTCCCATATAAACTATTAGAAGTATGTATGTTATACTTACAGCATTTTTTTTATTTGAGTCATTATTAATATCAATGTGAAACCATGTTTGTAGAACTTGAATTAATAATACATGTCCATGTTTGGCTAAATAAGCTTTTAATGTATTTAAGGAGTCTTGTGATAAGTAAATATCATATTTACAAGACCTGTAAGTATTATTAAATTATTAAACAATATCATTTAAAAGATTTGAAAATTTAAATTTCATAAATATAAGACAATTTGTTTTGAAACTAATGAAACCACTGAAAATATTTTTAATCAAAAATATTGCACCAGAGCTGAAGTATATTAAAATGAAATATACCTTAGTGTATTGTGAAATTGCATGACTATTCTCAAACAAATCAATCCTGAAAACTAGGTACACTCAACTGATACCTCTTATGTACTATAGAATATAAATCAAATAATGGTCTTACCTGAAGGCAGCAATTGACGGCCTTGATTCTATTTCTTGCAGAGTGTATATTGTGCCAATATCATCCAATAACTGATTCATATAATCTTTTTCTGGAGTTTCATTATCTATTGTTCCATTTTGTAGGGAATTAAAAAGTTGTTCTAAGCTGTTAGGTCTGTATAATGCTGATGGTAAATTACCATCAATCGGTTGATGATAAGATAAATCTTTTTGTGGTAAAGTGGCTGAATGCCTTTTGAGAAACATTTGTGCTGCACCGCCATGTCCACCGCGAAGCATTTCCAAGTAAAGATGGCATAATAATGGCGTTAATAACCCAAGTAGCTCATTTTTTACCCTTTCCAATTTAATTTCTTTTATGAAATTAAACAATCTTAAAAAATATAAAATGTTTAGATATCAGTTTATATAGTTTAAATAATATGTATAGTTACCTATGTGATGAGATAAAATATTATAAATACCTCGTGTATTGAACATCATATTGCCCAGGGTCGTTGTTGATGCATGAAAAAAGAATGGAATTTGCACGACTTGCTTCACATTGGACAATAGTAGCTACAGCCATTTCTTCAGCACTGCGACTAGTGGAATTATTGTTACTAAATATTTCAATATCCTGCAATATTTTTATTTTATGGAAGTGGTCTTTTCTATTTATTAGACTTTACCTTATTTTCGACAATTCTGTACTTACGGGATAATTTCGTCGCTCTAAGTAGGAAGTAACAGCAGCTTTAACTGCATCATTTCTAGTTCTCTTCATTGATACTTTTTATCAAATATTTCAATTCAATTCTTTAATGATTTAAGCTTTTTTCAATGTTATTAATTTGTATCAAATATGTACCAGTTGTACTGTTTTGTTTTGTATTTATGTCAAATGTCAATTTTCAAATTGTCAATCTCCATTCTCAATGTCAAATAATGTCAAATTTTTGTTTATTTTTGGTAACGGACTTGTACAATTGTACTTTTGCCAGTGTAAAGTAATTGTAAAGGGTGCACTGGCGCGTTAAAAATGGTAGGAAACTCGAAAACCAAAAATTCGTTAAAACCGTTTATTTTAAATTACACAACGTAGGTACACGAACAAAGCATATGAGAGAGAGCGAAGGTACGTGTGTCGCGAGCGATAGTAAAGGCTGACTGACTGCGTCACCGTTCGATTTCTACCTTAAAATTTAACATAATATTTAAAACATATGAGATGATTGGGCCGTCATACCCGCCACCTTAAGCTAATACAAATTTATATAACGATTTTTGAGCACGTCGCTAACACACCCCACCCCAGTGCTGGCTCAGCACTACTCAGGCAAAGGAATTCTAGCGACGCGCGCCGCTGAACGTCTCAGCGTCCCTGATTTGGTTCTGATTTCAACCAACCTGACCCGGCCGTCCTTGCCTGGAAACACCTGTTCCACGATCACCCTCTGCCACACGTTGCGTGGCGCTCCAGGGTCCACGACCAGCACGAGATCACCTACCTTTAGCGGTTCGCGCTCCTCATTCCACTTCCTTCTAGGTATCAGCTCCGGTAGGTACTCTGTTACCCAACTGCGCCAATACATATCAGCTAAGCGTTGACTCTTTCGCCACTGTTTTCGTAGGTACAGGTCAGAGTCATCAAAGACACCTGCAGCAGGTAAGTTGGAGCTCTTACCCAGCAGAAAATGGTTTGGCGTCAACGACTCGTCGCTACCAGGTTCTACAGACACATGAGTAAGGGGGCGGCTGTTGACTATATTCTCGACTTCAGTCATAAAGGTGGCGAGAACTTCATCTTTGGGGACACGCTCTTTGAGTATAGCCCCTAGAGATACCTTAACGCTACGTATTAAACGCTCCCACGCCCCCCCCCCCCCCAATGGGGGCTCGCCGGTGGGATAAAAGACCATTGTGTCCCATTGTTAGCAGCCTCGTTCTTCAGGGTCTCGTCGTCAAGTTCCTGGATTGACTTCAGTAGCTCCGCATCAGCGCCACGTAGGTTAGTTCCGTTATCGGAGTAAAGGCAGCGTGGCCACCCTCGGCGGGCAGCCATACGCCGGAGGGCCATAATTAGTGAGTCAGTAGTGACGGAATGCACGATCTCCAGGTGTATAGCCCGAACTGTAAGGCATGTAAATATGACACCGTACCGTTTCTCCCTTCTCCTCTCTACCACCACCTCCATCGGTCCAAATAGGTCCACACCGCAGTGTGTGAAAGCTCGCTGGTGATGCGCCACTCTAGCGGGAGGTAAATCGCCCATCACTGGCACTTCCGGTTTCGCCTTCCTTATTCTGCAGATCATACATCCGGCAGCTACATGTTTAACAGTGGGTCTCATTTTAATGATCCAGTACCTTTGCTTTAGGTTATTTACCACTGTCTCCTGGTTTCCGTGAGCAGCTTTTATGTGGAAATGTCTTACCAACAATCGCGTCACTCGATGTCGCCCGTCGAGGATACTCGGGTTTTTTGTCTCGGAAGAGACATCAAGTGCTGCACCAATGCGTCCGCCGCAACGAAGGACGCCGTGCTCGTCCAAATAAGGTGACAAGTTGAGAATACGACTGTTGCGGGGCAAACATTTACCTTCTCTAATTGCGCTCACTTCCGTGCCGAAGGCCTCGCTCTGTACCCGCCAGAACAGCAAACGTTTAGCCTGTTCCATTAATTCGCAATCGTCATCGGTACGTTTCCTGCACTTACATATAAATCTAATAACAGCGGCTGTACTTTTGAGCAACCGCAGCCACGAAGAAAACCGTTCCGGATCGGGAGTAGGCTCGACACTAGGGATGTCCGTAGTAACCACATTTGTTACCAGGTTAACACATTCAGTTGTCTCGACATCAGTGACAGGACGAACGACGTGACGCGGCCACGATGACTCATCGTCACGCAGAAACGTAGGGCCCCCCAACCATACACTCTTAAAAATGGCGTCGTCGTAGGTTTCGCGTGTAGCTATATCCGCAACATTTAATTCAGTAGGCACGTATCGCCATTCCTTACTACTAGTGACCTCATCAATCTCGCCCAACCGGTTTGCTACAAATGTTTTATAATTTCTCGCGTCATTATTAATCCAGTGCAAAACCGTGGTCGAGTCACTCCAAAAGAATCGCTGTAACACGCTCAACTTATGCTCCTTAACAATGGTGTCGGCGAGTCTCGCCGCTAGAAGCGCTGCTTGCAACTCTAGTCGCGGCACAGTCAGTGGTTTTACCGGCGCAACTCGACATTTACTTGCTATAAATGCAACAAACACATTACCATTGTACGTCCACCGCCAATAAGCTACAGCGCACATCGCTTTAGTAGATGCATCGCAAAAAACATGCAGCTGTGTGTTATTGTACTTCGTAGCACTCGTAGCTCGCGCGGTTTCGTAGCTCCCGGTCAGTCGCGTAGAGGCCGTAGCGGGCTGCGCGGGCGTAGGCGGGCCGCGGGGCGCGGGGGAACACTGACCTGCTACAATATCAGCTGTGTCCGTTGCCATGCGATCACCTGTCTCGCTCGCACCTAGAGGGCTTAGGTAGCACCTAGGAATGCGTACATTACTCATTTCCATTAGCAAATCGATCCAGGTTTTCCATTTATTAAAAATGCTATTGGGAATCTCGTCGTCCCAGCCAATGTTTGATCGCCAAAGATTTTGAAGCATTATTTTACCTTGTATTGTGAACGGCGACAAGAAACCAAAAATATCGTAAATAGACATAATTACTCGCAGCATAACCCTTTTAGTAGGCACTTGTGCTCCGTTCACTACGTACTCTGGAATGCGCTTGAAGGATAAATCAAACCCCAGCTCATCTTTAGCGGGAAACCAAATAAGACCGAGCGTTCGTTCTCCTTCACACTGCTGACCCATTTTGAGACTTACCGCCACTGTACCTAAGGTCTCTTTTGATATGCTGTCCAACACTACTACACTGTTACTATTCCAATTGCATATTTCGAAGCCGCCCTCTTTGTGAATGTAAACAATATCTCTTACCATCTGCGTCGCGGTGGCTTCGTCCGGGAAACTGTCCAGATAGTCGTCCATGTAGTGCTGGTTGCAGATAGCGTCGGCAGCAGCGGGCAGCGACGAAACGAAACGTTCCGCGTTCCTGTTTTTCACGTACTGTGCTATAAATGGGGAACAATTAGCACCGAATATGAGCGAAGTCATGTTAAAAGTTTTGACCGATTGTTCGGGGCGAGGTCTCCACAAAAATCTAAGGGAATTTTGATCCTCGTCCCTTATTTTAATTCTCAGGAACATATCTTTAATGTCCCCGGCTACAGCGACCCTATTCTCTCTAAAACGTACCATAATGCCGAATAGGGACGCGAGTAAGTCGGGACCTTGCAATAGGTTTTTTTTTTTTTTTTTTATAGGAGAGGGGGCAAACGAGCATGCGGCTCACCTGATGGTAAGTGACTACCGCCGCCCATGAACAACCGCAACACCAGGAGAATTGCAGATGCGTTGCCGGCCTTTTAAAAAGGAGTAGGCTCTTTTCTTGAAGGTCCCTAAGTCGTATCGGTCCGGAAAAATCGCTGGTGGTAAACAATTCCACAAGGAAGTTGTGCGAGGAAGAAAACATCTTCTAAATCGCACAGTGGTGGACCGCCAATCATCCAGATGGTGTGGATGGTATCGGGAGTTCTGCCGCGATGTGCGTTCGTGAAATTTGGCGGCTGGGATTAATCCGAACAATTCCTCAGAGCACTCCCCATGGTAAATGCGAAAGAAAATGCTAAGAGATGCAACATCTCTTCGCAGTGCCAATGAGTCGAGCCGATCGGAAAGGACTCGGTCGTCGACGATTCGAGCCGCTCTGCGCTGGATGCGGTCAAGTGGAAGAAGCTGGCACTGGGGAGCCCCAGCCCAGAGATGGGAACAGTATTCCATGTGAGGCCGAACCTGCGCCTTGTAAAGTTGCAGGCGTTGAGCCGGCATGAAATACTGTCCCGCTCTGCTGAGCACGCCAAGCTTTTTAGAGGCCAATTTGGCCTTCTCTTCCAAGTGACCATGAAACTGCACGCTACTCGATATGTCGACGCCGAGCATTCCGATACTGGCTGAGGCAACAAGGGGAGTACCTTGAAACTGAGGAGATACGACAAAGGGGTTCTTTTTAGCGGTAAACGCGCAAACTTGTGTCTTCTGAGGATTAAACTGGACTAGATTTAGTCGCCCCCAATCCGAGACTTTGTCCAGCAAAGACTCGACTTCAGACACAAGTTTGTTCCGGTACTCGGTGACGTTTTCCCGAGAAATATTGGCACGGCCGGTGTATAGAGCATCACCAGTGCTGTCATCCGCATAGCAATGAATGCTACCAGCTTGCAACATATCATTGATATACAGAAGAAACAGCGTTGGTGATAGCACGCAGCCTTGTGGAACACCAGCGTTAATAGGCTTGTAGTCGGAGCATGCACCGTCTACAACGACCTTGATGCTCCGATCTGCAAGAAAGCTGGTGATCCAATTGCATAATCATTTAAACATTTTCCGTGACTTTTCGCTGCTGCATCGAAAACGAAACGCAACTTTTTTTTATTAGGATTATCGACCCCAAAGTGTGGTAAATACCACGTTCGCGGTGTGCGCCGAATATCAGTCGACTCTTTAGCGTAATCATTAAGTAAAAGGTGATCCACTCGTTCAGAGTAACGTTTGGCGTAGTCAGGGTTCGCCACCATCTTTTTTTCTACTCCTTTGAACCTGTTGCAAGCGTTAGCGTAGCTATCGGGCAACACGCAGCCTTCATCGCGCCACGGAAGCCCGACGTGCCAGCGGCCCACCACGAGCGTTGTCGAGCGCTCCACCTGAGCGCGCGCGCGCACTTCTTCGCTGTTCTCACGGGGTTTGCTACACACACCTAGGGAATCGAGCATGAATGAGCGCCTTACCTCGTCATGAAGTTCGCGAAGCAAGTCCTCGGCATCACCGGCGGCAGGCGCGGCGGGCCCCGCGCTGCAGCACAGTAGAGGGCTCGGGTGCGAGGCGCGGGTGCCGTGTGGCGGTGCGCGCGCTATTCCATGTAAGGACCAGCCTAGGGTGGTGCGAGTAGCGGACGGCTCATTACGTTTACCGATACACATTTCAATAGGAGCTAACAAATGATGATTATCCTGGCCGATTAGTACTTCAGGTTTAATATTATTATTACAAAATATTAAATCATGTTTCAAATTTTTCAAATGAGCATACTGACTACAATCGATTGAATAAAGATTTTGCTCAGGCAATTTTAAATTGTTTACGCTTCGTGCATTAATGGTAGACATATTACAATTATTTTTATCAGACACATTTATAGACAAAACAGTAGAATCAACAATAACATCGCTACCGCTCCACGCTCCGCTCACGCGCATAGTCTCAGTGCGGCCGCGCAGGCCGGCCCGCGCAGCGAGGGATCCGGTTATCAATGTTATTGTTGATCCGTCGTCGAGCAATGCAGTCGTGCTGATTACACCATTAGGTCCGTGTATGTTTATAGGTACTACTTTCAATAACACGTTGTGTGCAGAGTTAATGTGTGTCACGGTAGCAGCTGCGGCTCCGGAAGTGTGGCCGCGGCCACACCGCGTCGCCGGTGTCGCCGGTGTCGCCCGCGCCGGGCGGGGCGGGGCGCGGCTCCCGGCTGGCGTCGCGCGGCTCCCGGCTGGCGTCGCGCGGCTCCCGGCCGGCGTCGCGCACGTAGTGCAGCAGCCGGTGGTGTGCCTCGCCGCAGCCGTCCTTGTCGCAGACGGCCGCGGGACACGTTTCTCGATCGTGGCGCGACACTAAGCACTTGTAACATACGCCGTGGCGTTTAACGTGACGCCACCTGTCTTTGCGCAACGCTTTTTTAAACATTTTGCACTCAGTTAATTTATGTTTTGCGACGTTGCAAAATAAACACTTAATGTCACTGTGCGTTGATTGCACTAATACTGCATGAGGACGACTGGTGATGTTGCTGTAAGGTTTACTCTTGTAGTGCTGCTGAAATCCGACGCTGCGAGCCTCTGTGGCGTGTATGTTCGCTGTAGTCGAAATTTTCACAGCTTCTTGATTTAAAAAATCGCCTAATATATTCAAACGTGATTTCTTTCCTTCCTTTATTATAGCAAAACTATAATCGGACCATTTTGATATTAGTACGGTAGGCATCTTGGATAAAATAATATTTGAAATATGCATTCCTTGCATGTACTCTTCTCGGCCGACGGCGTGCACAGCTGCGATGAAATTTTGAACTTTAACTGAGAACGACACAATGTCTTTGTTGTATTCGTTCGACATAGGTGGTAGTTTCTTCAGGCCCTGGGTAATTTTGCTTAGAATGGTGTCTGCGTTACCGTATAGTAGCTCTAAAGTTTTTATCACTACGTCGGGTGATGTACCGCTTATCATGAGAGCTGAGACTGCTTCCTTAGCTGGCCCGTGAAGACACTTCCTTAAACGCCATAAATTTTCCTTCGGGCTAAACTTGCACACTTCGGTAGACTCGTCATAAGCCTGCTTGAACTGGAGCCATTCCAGCGAGTCCCCTGAGTAACTAGGTAGGTCCCGGGGGGTACACATGCGACTAAGCAGGTTGTTGTTTGTCCCATTATTTGCAGAGATCGAGGATAGATTCTGTAGTGCGCTCGCGAGCATATGAACCGTTCCGTCACATGGGCCGGCAACGGGTGCCGCCGGCGGACACTGCTTGCCCGGCTGATCACCGAACTCTGGAGCGTGCAACGGGGGTTCGTGCTCGAGCTGGCTTTGTTCTAACCATTGCTCCACTTTCTTATTCTTGGTGTCGTCGTGCGGGTCACTATGTGGACTGTATATTTCCTCTTTTTCATCCATAAGGTCTGCTAAATCCGCCTGAAACTGCTTATCGATGAGATCCATTTGAATTTTAGCCTTTTCTTTAGCCATCTCTAGTTCCAGTTTCTTTCTCCTGGCCATCAGAGAGGACGAGGTGGACGTTGACTTAGCCCCGGTGCGCGAAGCGGGCGGCTGTTGCAAGCGGTACTCGCGCTTGACGCTGCTACCCGCAACATCATATAGTTGGCTAGCGGTCGGTGTCTGTTTATCCTTCTGTGTATTTCCATCAGTTGGCTGAGGCTGCACTTGTAACTGGACTTCCTGATTTTCGTCCTCTTTGCTCTCGAGCTCCTTGCGTGTAGTGCTTCGAGTTTTTACCATTTTTGCAGGCGGCGTGCTGAACATTAGATCCGGTTCGAAGACCACTTTGTAAAGGGTGCACTGGCGCGTTAAAAATGGTAGGAAACTCGAAAACCAAAAATTCGTTAAAACCGTTTATTTTAA